AGTGCTTTAGACCACTGAGCCATCTCACCAGCCCAGCCCACCAGGGGGCGGGGCTGGCTGGCATGTGGTGCTGGGGGATTGAACCGCGGTCCCTGTGCTTTACTAAGTTTGTTCTAAGTAGGTGCCTTAGACCACCGAGCCATCTCACCAGCCCCAGTAAATTAAATATTTTAAACAATTCTCAGATGCCATGCCAATTTAGAATTTCCTGAGGAAAAATATCTTAGAGTATCCTTAAAGTCATTCATAATAATTTTTAGTAAAAAAAAATAATAATTTTTAAATATTTTATTAGAAATCAGGAACTCTGAAGATGGTGGCATTTCCTACCCACCTCTTCTACCTAGCAAGGTGGATCTCCGGCAGGTTACCATCATCCCACACGATGAGTGGGAAAGGATTCAGGATAGCCTGGGTGGTTTGACAAGGGAAGCAGCAGCTCTTCGCGCAGAAAGAAAGGCCAAGGAAGAAATGCATTTCCGATCCCAAGAGGTGGTAAAACACTGGACTAATACTTACGCAGTAAGTATTAACCCTCTAGAAGTTCACGTGGCACTGAAGAGTTACTCTTGTTTCTTTATACTCTTTTTCTTTATGAATAATTCTATGCATAAAGTATTATAAAATACATTGAAATACATTTTAGCAGCTTTTTTTGTTTAAGGTGAAAGGAAGTAATATCCAGCAAGTAGACTTATTTAAGTGAACGTTTTGCTGGTGAGATAGCTCAGTAGAATAAGCACTTGCCTGGCAGGCCAAGGGCCTGAGTTCAATCCCCAGTTCCGCAAATAAATAAATAAATAAATAAATAAATAAATAAAGTGAGCATTTTGGTATGTTTTGATGCCTTTATCTACCCCAAGCCTCATGAAAATGGAGACCACGAGTGTCTCAATCACTCCATACTTTCATTGTGCCCTTTTATTTTTTCCTATTCCTTCCTACCCTGAGTCACCATGGACCTACTTCCTATTATTGTAGCTTTCTTTTTGCACAATTACTTTGTACTAACTTCATCCTTGTTGTAATCAATTTTTCATTTTTATGGCCGAGTAGCATATGGTATACTGTAGTTTATATATCTGGTCACTTGTTCATGATTTGGCCTCAACCAAATGTGCACCTCTGAGTTGTTTTCAGGTTTTTTGGCTATTAAAAATAAATACAAGGGCCAGAGAGATAGCTCAGTAGCATAAATGCTTGCCTGGCAAGTGCAAGGTCCCAAGTTCAATCTCCAGTACCACACACACCCACACAAAAGTTACAATAAACATTCACTTAGAATGTTCTAAATACTCTATGTGTGAACATGTGATTCCATTTCTCTTGGATAAATATCTTTTGTAGAGAATGAAATTCTTCTGTACTTATTTGTAAACCTAAATATTAAGGCATATGCCCTAATTACCCTCTAAAAAACTTTATTTAAAAGAATTTGGCATATAAAGGCATGAGAGAGCGATACCTCTCCTCTATTTTGTTTTTACATAGAGGTAGCATACTATACGCATCTCCATGGGAGTTAGAAGAACAAGTGAAGATGCATGTTATCAGCATCAGTACTTACTATAAATCTATAGTAGTTAAAACTGGGAGATAGGTAGATATTGTCAAAAATGGAATAGTTCATATGAAACAGCCTAGATCAGTGGTGGTGACCTGTGCCTCGTGTGCTGCAGTGACATACGGCTTGGGTGCCACAGCTTTCAATGTTTGTGTCTAACCTGTGTTATATATGAGAACTCAACATAAGATAGAAACATCACTGCAATCAGAAGGGAAAGGGTGGGGAAATGCAGTAACTAATACCTGTGATAACTGGCAGATGAAAGGTATTGAATTCTATACTAATTGTAGAGAATATAGGGGGCCAGCCAAATAGTTTAGTGGATTAAAGCAAGCGCAGGGTCCTGGGATTCAATCCTCAGGGCTGCTGTGCTGGCCCCGCCCTGGAGCACGCTGAGAGTGCAGTTGAGACTGGGTGTGGTGGCACACTCCTGTAATCCCAGCTCTTGGGAGGCTGTAAACAGGAAGATCACTATGGGTCTGATCTAGTAATGAGACCCTGAACACCCTGTAGACCTTTCCCTAAAATACAAACAAACAAACAAAAAACCAAACCTAGAACAATAAAATGTTAATATAAATTATGGAATCCCAGGTCATAAATCACAGACTTATATAATGTGGTCTTCACAAATAATGTCTTCTTCAGATGTAGAAAGTGTGACCGCCAGAGGGGAAGAACGACCTCAGATGACACGAAACCTCCTGTAAGCTTCTCAGTTGTCTGGATGAGCATGTAAAAATATGCTACTATTGGTTTTCTAAAAGTACAAAATCAGTAAAATATATGTTTAGTACTTAGCTAGGAAGGAATTTTGGAAATAAACATAGAAACTCATACTAGAAGTCATCTTAGAGTAAGAGGAGATTGCAGATGGAAATTATGGTTAAGGAAGTTCATTGTGTACCTCTATAGTATTTTTGGGTTTTGAACCATGTAAAAATCTATATACCTAAGGAATTCAATTTCAAAATTATAACTTCATATTTATTAAATATGCCAATGCAGTAATATTCATAAGGACAGTTCAAATTATCATAGTGCTAAATTTTGGTAAAATTAAATTGCAAAATGCAAATGAAACAGTGCTTTTGGGTTGGGGATACAGCTTAGTGGTAGAGCACGCACTTTGCGTGTGCGAAGCCCCATATCTGATTTGTAGCACTGCAAGATAAATAAAAGATTGGCTTTGTTCTTTTATAGGGATTGAAAGAACAGAAACTCAAAGCCAAAAAAAAGCGGGATGAAGAAATCGAAGCTGAAAGACAAATCCTTGACCTGGAAGAGGAAATATACAAACAAGGAGAAAGAAAGAAGGCCATTGAATATGCAAAGCAGTATCAATTTTACCAGACAGAACGAGTGAAAAACTTTCATGTACTGTTTGGATTTTCTTCTGTTTTTATATATTCAGCATGCATACGTAATTATCGTCTCTATATAAGTAAATGTTATTTTCTTACATGCTGCAATTTTTTTGCAGTCAGGACTTCTTCTCAGCAGAGCTATGAAGGAACGTGATGTCCAGGTTGAATTCCATAAGAGTAAGATAAAATCAGATACCAGATGGGAAGAGCAATTGAAACTCAACATTGAAAAGGCCTGGAAAGAAGAGCAAGAAAAAGCAGAAAAACAACACAGAGAAAGAGTGGCTCTTGCTGAGGAGCATCTAAAACAGTATGTATCCATAAATTACCTTCTGTGTGCTTTCCTCATTTTCTCATAGTGGATATAGCTGTATTCTCTAATTATATA